TGTTTTCTCCTAAAAATGACTTTTATGAAAATTTAAAGAAATATTTTATTTTTTATAAAAATGCATAAAATATTTCATCCTAAAGAAAAAAATATTAAAACATCTTACAAATTATTTATAAAGTTACGTATAAATTCATCTAAATTTCATTTTAAAAATTTTATTAAAAATATTATAAATTAATCTTAAAAGTTTAAATTATATTTATATCATTCCTAAAATTTTAGAATCTAAAAAATAAAATTTAAAAATAATTTTTTTTACTTAAAAATAAAAGCTAATCAATCAAAAAAGCATTAATTTTAATTAACTTTAGGTCTGAAAATTAATTTAAATTAATTTCAGATAATTAAATTACAGATTAATTAATTAAAGGATTTCAAAAAAATCCAAAAATTTAATTAAATTAATTTTTTAATTTCTCAAAAAAAAATTAATTTAAAAATCTTTCTGTCTGTTTTTCCATTTTTTTCCATTAATTGTTAAAATAAATAAATAAAATCAGCATCATTTTCAATATTATATAGCTTTATTTATTTACTTTTTTTAGAATAAAATGAAAATTAAAGATATAAAATTCATTATAAAATATAAAATTTAAAAGTTTTTACATATATTAATATAAAATATTCACTTATATCTGTTTTAAATCGTTTTAAATCTACAGGAGTTTACATGTATTAATCATCATAATTATAAAATATTCAGGTTAATTATATTCAAATGCGAAATAAAATTTTAATGACTCCTGTAAAAATGATAAGAAAATTTTTATGGCTTCTAATTATTCTCTTAAACTGTTATACAATACTTTTTAAAATTTAATATATATATATATAAATTAATTGCATAGGTCTATATTTAATTTTGATGGATTTAATACTACTTTAAAACTGGTTTTACAGAAGGAAGTACTGTATTAAGAATATATAGGCCTATATATTTTTTTTAATTTTTATATTAAATACATTATTTTCTTGATAATGGGCTAATTTTTCTAAAATTTATTAAGGTTTTTATTCGTTTAGTTTTAGAATTATGTGCAGGTATAGTTTCGTACCTTCTGATTTCTCAGTTCTATTCCTAACTACTCCTTCTTATCCTCCTCCTCATCCATTCACTCTCTTCCTTTCTTCAGCCTAAACCTTTGAGTAGGCTCTAATCCCTAATAATAATTTATAAAAAAAGTTGTAAATAAAATTATTTTACGGTTTTCGTACTTAATTTTTTAAATAGAAACAAGATATTATTAACTTTAAAACTGTAAAACAGTATATTATGATAGCATACTCTAGGATAATATAATACTTTATCATGATATCCTAAGTCGACGTTGCTTAACATTTAATGACAGGTTAAGTCTATATACGATGTAAGATACTAGAATTTAACGAATTCTTAATTCTATATAGGACACTTTCATCTAATAACTTCAGTCTAAGTTGATACTTCAATCTAGTAATGCATTAAATCAATCAATGCATAATAGTTATATCAAATAATACTGTCAATCATTAGATTCAAATATCGTACTTAAATTCAAGTATTATATTTTGAATCTAAGTACACTATTTAAATCTAAAGATATCTTGATTCTATATTTGATACTTTCATCCAATGATATCTTAATTTTATACAGGCCTATAATACGTTCAATGATATCTTCAGCCTGCTATAATTGAATCTCGTGATGTATTAAACCAATGTATGATATACTAATACTCATACTAAATCTATGATATATCTAATGATATCTTAAGGCTGTTAAATAAGCAAAGACAAATTAAACATTTATGTTCCTAAATGTCATAACTATAAATTTTTAAGAGGAAAAATTATTAATGGAAACTACTTATTTTTATAAATTAGTTTAAAACATTATTTTTATTTAAAATTTAATAATTTTCAAATTTAAAAAGAATTCCCTAAGTGGCTTAATAATTTAGCAATCTAAGATTAATTAGTCACTAGTTAAAACAATGAGGAATTTAATATAGTTAAAGATATGCATGGATTATGTTCAGCAGTTAAAGCACAGATGGCCTCAGTTGCGGTCAATTATGTTTTTACCATGAATGCAGTAAGCAGTTATGATGATTTAATACCTCATAAATTATTTCGAATGTCAACTATGAATAATACCATTTAACCTATGGCCAGAGCATTAGTCTCGATAGTTCCCGTTTTATTTTTATATACGAATAACCAATATACACATTATTTAATGGAAATTAATATTTATACTAATTTATAACATCAAAGAAATTTATTTATAACAAATTTGTCTTTAAATTAAAAAAAAAGTCTTCAACTTGTAGTAATTGATAGTAATCAGCAATGTACTGTACCATAGAAGACATCAAAGCGTGAAAATAATTCTATAAATGATTTATTTTAATACAGAAGTGTATTTAAAATAAATAAAATTTTAATTATTTCTCAGAAGAAGGAAGAATTTTCCATCTTTTGAAATTTTAAAAGAATTTTTTTTAATTATAAAAAATATCTTTAAGCGGATAATAATTTTAAATAAAACAAAAACTTACCTAAATTTAATTATTAAATTTTATTTAAACTTTTAGTAAACAAAATAAGAATTTCCTTTTCTAAAAACTCTTCATTAAGTTACACGAAAAGATCGAAAGATGTCGCTAACAAAATACAATACTTTAAACCAATTGTGTATCACGATTCAATTACCACAGTAGTCGACCGTCCAATGAGATGATCCGATAGTAATACGTCAAGAAGAAGTGCAATGGTGGAAAGTAGCGTAGTAGTTAGGTCAGTCGAGTCGTTCGCGTTAAAGCGTATGGCCGCCCTGTTTTCTCCATGTGTATGTAATGCCATCGTTTGCCCAATTATAATATCGATGTGAAGCATGATGCCACTTGCTCCAATATCTTTAACACCAGTACCTCCCAGGACAAAATTAAGATTTTCTATCGAATCTTTAATGGGTAAAGACATTAACGAAGAATCGAATCAAACTGATAGACCCACTACACCTCCTCCGGCTCACTCACAGAGACCTTTCGAAGATAGGACGGGAGTTTATGTGAATCCCGAGAATACCGGTGCTCGTTCTGGATCAGGATCCTATCCAGCACGTTTAGATTCCAGTCAATTCCCTAGTGACTTTATTCATTACGATCCGTGCACTCCTCAACTACAACCAGTAGGCCCTTATTTACTTGGTAGAGATACTTATTCTCTCTATCCTTGGTTACTAGCAAGACATCATAGAATATTCCCATATGGGACTTCAGGTAAATCTTCATTTTTCCTATATTTCTTAAGTGTACTGCTAGATTTATGAACCCCATATTTTCTTTACTTTTCTAAAATGTAAAACTCCCGTCTATTTATATAAATAACCTAGATTTATCCGAACGGAAGGCGATTAAGTTCCACCCGAAAATCTATTACTCTTCAGGTGGTCTTTAGATACGATGAGGGCTCGTAAGTCTAAAAATGAGGCAATGAATATAAAATGTCGCCTCGATAACGACATACTCGCCTTCTGAATATAAAAATGTTTCCGTATGATAACGTAATTAATAGTACAATCCAATATAAAATACAGGATTTAAACCCCCCGTTCTCTAGTAATTGAGTAGGTAATTTGATTTTGAAAAGGGTCCAATAATATTTTATGTAAAACTATACGAAAATTTACGCATTTTCGGAGCTAAAAATGTATAATTCGCATTCTCCAACGCGAGGGCATAAGTTTATAACCATAACTTTCTATCGATTCTCGTAAAATACCCATTAAAAATGGGTAGTAGTGGTGTAGAAAAACTAGGTTATTTACTCATTTAATAACTTAAACATTAACTCGAAAACATTATTTACATATAAAAATGTTCATATTTTTACCTCGGGGTGTGGTTCATCCGTTTGTTGCAAAGTATTTTCAAATTATACACTACTGGGAAATTACCTTCTTTGCTGATAAGACACAAATTTTTCTTTTCACGTAGGAAGCTTGCTTTGTGTAATAAATTATCATTATTGTTGGCATTAGACTATATCGTGACTAGAATACTTCTTAATAAACATCTGAAGAGTAAAGTAACTTTCGAGAATTGCTCTTTCCAATTATGTTATTATTATATATATTTCCTAAATTATCTTTGGCATCTGAATCTTTGTAGATAAAGAATCGAGTAGAGGCTCTTCCACTTCATTTTTTAATCCTCATATTTTAAGTGAAAGGCCCTTTCCGGTACAGTTATACACACACATAACTTCCGAGTATCACACGTAAGTAACGGCGAATTACCTACCTGTAATAGAGGAAGAACCTTGTTAAAAGAATAAAAAATAAGAAAATGAAAAATATTTTCGTATCCTAAACGTTTTTGACACGCGGATGACCCTTCTAAGGTCGAAAGATCCCTTAACGTGATACATAACTCATTTACAAATGGATTCCATTACCCTTGTTAGTTATTATCTAAAGATACATCATAGATTTTTTCGAATTTTTTTACATATTAAGTGACTATATGTTTATATTAAGTTAATTAAATCTTTAATTATTCTGAATCTTATCTTAATATGTGTTTTACTGATTTAAAAAAAGAAGAAAAAAAAGAAACATTATTTAATTATACATTTAATTTCACGTTCGTAAATGGTTCTTAATAAGATATCAGAATTCTAAATTATAAATGCTCTATATTTACGTGATTATTTCACTTTATTTTCATAATTTATTTACATTAATTATGACTTAACTCGATTAAATGTATCTCAATTAGCTTGACAAGTATCCTAATCTTCTCAACGCCTATATTTTCTAAAGGTATTCCTCCCATTTTTAGCCCACAAAAAAAAAAATACTGCGAAATGCGAAAAATCCATTTAAAAAATTATTTTTAACTTAAATTCTTTACATTTTTTAAATAAAATTTAATCCTAAAACACACTTCTTAAAGAAAATTTAATCAAGTTTATATATTAATCGTCAATGTTATAATCTAAAAATTTAATTTTAAACGTTAAAATTTTAAATGTTTATATAAAATTTTAAAAGATTTATTTATTTTTATTAACATTTTATCTTTTTCAAACTGTTAAATTAATTTTAGAATACATTTATTGACTTAAAATTAAGAAGAAATGTCATTAATCACGCTTCTCCAAAGTTTAATATTTACATTTCTACTTTTATCAAGTATTTATTTATCTTATAGTAAAAGTAAATAATTACTATCAATTGTTAATAAACTAAAAATAGAATTAAATTTTATATCCATTCATTTTGTAACAATTAAATTTAAATGTTCAACCCTTTCGAGACGAATATCCTCATTTAGTTTCGAATTATCATCAGACAAATTTCTCCAATTTTTAAAATACTTTTGAAGAAATTTCATATAAAAAACACCTTAAATATTGTGCATCAAAACTCTTCATTTTAATGCTCTATTAATAGGTTAAAGTCGTTAAATTAAATATAAATATTCTGTATACGAAGGTTAATATACCCTCTTTTAAACACTTATTTAATTGTATTTTTTAATTAATTTACCAATTTTTTAGCCTTTAGTAAGGCCAAAGAACTGATAAATTGATTTAAAAATATATAAATTCTCTAAGTATTTAGATAAATTCGAAAGATATCTTACAAACTTCCTCCTTTAAGTTGCACCTTAGACTTAAATTTTTCATTTTTATTAAAATTTTTAAAATAATTTTATGTCTTATTATTAAATAGGGGGTTTATATACTTCTTTACTTAATTTTTCTAATTATTTTATATCTGAAAGTAAATCTTAGAATGTAATTTACATAATACGCTCTAAGAATTAACAATAATAAAAAAGAAAATCAATTAGATAGATTAACTTCTAATTAAAATAATAATAATCAATATCTATTTTGTATCGATGCCAAATTATATATTTACTAAATTCAATGCCAAAGTATTAATTATAAATAAATAACTAAAATTGTTCGATATTAATATTTCATTCTTCAAAGACTTCACACTCCTGTAACTTACAATAATGTGAGTTATAGGCGTATGAGGCCTTACTCTTGCTATATCGATGAGTTACTTTTGAATACATAAATGGCGAAAGAGCATGTAACTTCAATTGTGTATATAATTTGCCTGAATTAGGGTTGATGTCGCACCTTAGGCAAGTCTTTCAAAGAGGGAAGTGAACGATTGATAAAAAAAAATAACAATAAAAAAAAAGCTCACTTTACCTGTTTGGGCAGGTATATTGGCTATTTTCAGGATCCCGTAACTAATAAATAGGTAGTGTTGTGATGACAAGCAAGGAGGCTGATGCTCTAGGCATTGCTAGAGATCGTGCTTAAGAAAAATAAAAATAACACATAAAAACACTTGATAATTGAACTAACTTAGTAAAGGAAAAAAAGTATATATATCACGTTCGAAACACACAATTTCAATTGAATTTTTTTCCATTTTTTTTTTTTTTAAATAAATATCAGTTAAAGAATGATAGAATCCTATACTAAATCCAATTCTATATCTTTAAAAAAATAATTAAATATATATATTTAATAGACCTAATTTAAAAATTAAAAATACTAAATCAAAATTTTGATAGACAATGGCCTAAATTTCTCAACTAAATTTGCTTATAGCCTATGGGCCCATATTAAATCTTAAAATTCTTCAATTTGCGCTCATTACATGATCGCCTCCAGCGATACATCATCATATAAATTTTATTCACCCCTTAAAATATAACTTTTATAGTATTTGAATTTTAATATAGTAGCATTATGTTCTAGAATTTATTTATTTTTCTCAATTAAACATTATAGATAATAACAAAGGATGTTGGATAATTTTCTTTCACTAATTTCACAAGCTACTGACCTATTTCCCATTTACAAAGTGGTTTAGTCAAAGGCATACAAACAAACGTAGTCGGTCAAGCCTTTTAATACCTTCTATTCGACATAACGATCCATTAATAACAATCAACATAATTCATTTAAACCGCCAAATTGACGAATGGTGTGATTAATCTTCTAAGAGCAAGGCCTGACCTATTTGTGAAGATTATCTGACGTCAACAATGGCCCTGATGTTTCTTGGCTCAGATCGATGATGTATTTACTTTAATAAATGATTTTTATACATATAAATATAAATTAAAACACATTTTATAACATATCAAGGACATTTACAAAGAATAATTTAATTTTTCCAACTCCTGAGGCATTTTAAATTGTAGACAATTAAGATTAAATCTGTTGATAAAATTCGTATTTTAACAGCCATTTTAATGCAATTTATATAAAAATATGCTCTTTAATGTTATTATTTATAGGATTTTTTTTAAATTTTTTAATAATTTTCGCAAGAATTTGAAGATTAAATCTGTTGATAAAATTCGTATTTTAACAGCCATTTTAATGCAATTTATATAAAAATATGCTCTTTAATGTTATTATTTATAGGATTTTTTTTAAATTTTTTAATAATTTTCGCAAGAATTTGAAATTTAGGTCTTTCTTTAGAAAGGGTTGCAAATGGGTGGAAGGGGGTGAGAAAAACTTTGACATTTTATATAACCTGTTATTAAATGTAGTACATTTATGACTTAAATATATAGAATTTTTTAAACGCTTCCATTAACGTTCTTAAGTGATTTTTTCCAATAGGCAACACCTTATAACTGGTTCTGCATTTAACAGAAGATATGCACGTAACCTGTTTTTTTTTATTTATTATTATACACTTTGTGGCTATAATATATCACCGAAATGACATTAAAATTACCTTGTTTACATCAAAAGATTTGTAGGATGATTTTTATATGAATTTGACATAAATGTAATACATCAAAAGGAATCACGTGCAAAAAATAATCTACCTATTGAATATAGAAGTTGTAAAATAAAATAAAATTAAATTAAAGAAGGATTAATTGTAATTTAATTTTTCTCATCTAACAATGTGTCTCGGATGGTGAAAAATTAATCTCTATCAGAATGCCTAAAATTCAGATATTTTTAGTGATCTTTTTATATAAATTAAAGAAATTTTAAACGACTAAATTGTTTAAAAATATCTGAAATTCACTCAAGAAGATTAGCAAAATCATTAAAAATATCTGAAATTTAGGCATCCTGATGCAAATTAACTACGTAAGTGCTTCAAATGACTCATAAATCAGGAATTATTTGCAAAAAAAATACATATAAATTGGCTTTTGAGTCCGCATTTCCCGAATAATAATTGGTTTTATGTAATATAACTAATATTTTGCCACTTTCAACACCTTATAACTGTATTTTAAATAAGATTTTGTAGAATTAAAAGAGATTTAAAGTAAAAATGGAGGGTGAAACAGATGATAATCACCCAAGTAATCCTGATTGTATCACCTTGATAAGGAATGATTCTGAAAAAAAAAAAGCAGTAAAGATCCTGTGTATCTAAATGATAAAATATATATTATTAAATATTTAAAAATTTAATCAAAGGAATCAACTTTCGATGAAACAGCTTCAAAGATTTCTTTATTTTATATTTAATTTTGAAATCTTTCTTTCCAAGAAAACTGCGTCACCGAATCCACCCCACGATTAACCTGTATTTACTTTGTACTCTAAAGGTAAATTACTACCTTACCACTAACAGGTTTCGACTCTTTTAAAGTACAATATAGATTTTTCTAAGATTTATATCGAATAGATTCTTAAGTAGAATGATGCAGTACATCATTAACCTTGTGGTCAATCATTATTTTGACGTTCGAAACTCCCACTTGATCCTTCTTTAATTTACAAAGAAAAAAAAAATTAAAACAACAACAAAAAAAGTTTCCTTTTCAAACAATGCTTTTAATTTTAATAAATTAACCTTAAAAGACAAATATTTAGCTCATTTTTTAGTGTAAATTTATGTTTTAATTCGCTAAACTGCGATAAAAATTGTACTAATCCCTATCCAAATATCCAATTACACGTTGTTGATGGAAAGTACATCGAAACCTTTCTATCAATAACGTTAAAATTGTTACATTCTGAGCATCATTTTCAATTTTGTTACTAAAATTATAACCATTGAGACTATTGGACTAAACGCTTCAATACTTTTCTTCCAATAGTAATGAGTTGTTAGAATATATTCGCTGCTCTAGTGGAATTAAATTTATTCTTTTGGCAAACAATAGTTTCTTTCTATATTCTAGTATATTTAACACTTCATATTATATTTAAACTATATTAAATTATATATATTTGTATATTATAAATAGGATAATTATAGTAAGCTAAATATAGGCTAAGTAGGCTAATTTAAGGTGTTTTTTTTATTATATAAAGTTAAATGTTTGCTCAAATAGTAGTAAACTTATGTAAAATTCGCATTCAAACTTTAGTTTAATTTTTTTAAAATAAAAACTCACAATGTTCAAGTGTAAGTGAACAGGAATTTTGATTTCTACACACATCTATGGACTGAGTTGTAATGAATGTATGGAGTTGTGAGTGTAATTTAAAGTGAATTTTTTATTGTAAAAAAAAATTAAATATTTGCTTAGATAGCAAGCTTATTTAAAAATTTGCATTCAACTTTATTTTATTTTAATTCTACTTGATGGATAGTCTCTTTCTTTCTTTTTTTTTAAGAAATAAACGCACAGGAATTTTAATTTCTGTCCATTCTTTCCATAGAGTTTTAGACTTTATTAAGCCAAATATTTAATTAAAATTTATCTAAAGATTCTCATTTAACTTTAATTTTTATTGATAGATAGCCTCATTCTTTTAGTATAAACAAAAAGGAATTTTAAATTCAGCACCTTTCTTTCTTTGTTCTAACAAGTTCTGAATCATTAATTAACATATAAATAAAAGGAATAATTAAATAAATAAAGCACGAACCATTTTGATATTAAGTTAATTTTTAAATTAAATACAATTATTTATATAAAAAAAGCATCTAATTGTAAAATAATGAATTTCTTCTATAGAATAAATACATCATTAATCATTTCATCAATGTTATTCTATCAGGAAAAACTCGTCGGAATGTCTAAAACCTATCGAAACATTTATTTACCTTCAATTTGACATATAAAGCCTCAAGCATTAGTAAATATTAAACAAATTGTTCATAGGAAATGTCCAGAAAATATTAATTACTTCTTAGAATTTCATTAATTTTCTCTCTAAAAAAAAAGCAATAAATATCATTGTTTTGATTTTAAATTTTATCTCTATTTATTTATTAAATAAATAAATACAAAATGTATCCAGTGATTTATTTATTTATATAAATAAGTTCTAATTTTATATCCAAAATTGAATTTTTATCGAGATGTTGAGTAGATTAATTTATGTTCCTTCTTACCAAATAGTAAACTTCAAGTTGAAATTTATCGCTTGTCTTAAAATAGTCTGTGGAGATTCTGTCACTACTTGATATCTTCTTTATACACCAACCGCACTTCTTCAACTCTTATTTTTAATTTAACTTCATGAAATTCTCATTTAAATCTGTAAATAAACTGAGATCTTCTTATTTAATTTCTTATTAAAATAAAAAAGAAAATTTATATTAAATTTGTTTAAAAATTTAAAATATCATTTTTAAAAGTATTCTAAAAACTTTTACTGAAAATTTAAATTTTATTTTTTATATTTTAACATGCAATTTCAGAATATTTTTATTAAAATTTTTAAAATACTATTACAATAGCTGAGGTTCATTGAGAGAAAATTCTTATATTAAGGTTATTACCATAGGTTGAAAGCGTTTGTTAACTAAAATAAAGAATTTTCTCTCAGCGAATCTCAGGTGTTACACTTAATAGAGAGAGTAAAGTCCTAGTACACCTGGTATAAATTAAAATTAAAATTTTTTTCTTTTAATTTGATTTTTTCCTAAAAATTTCTGCTTAAAATATTTTTAAAAAATAAGGCATTTCATTAGAAAAATCTCACACACTTTAAAAGTGTGTGAGATTTATATATATACATTAAACTCATAAAACTCAAAAAACAACGTTAAAAAATATGTTAAATATTATAGTCGATGCAGTTTTATCAAGTATAAAAATATTATCAAGATTGAATAAATAATTATTATCCTAGAGCTAAATTAAATAGCCCAATTCCTAGAAGAGGAGGAGGAGGAGGAGAAGAAGAAATGAGTTTTTCAATTTAATCGTTTTTCTTTTTTTTTTTGTCATGCATCAAATAAAACGTTTTAACTTATCTAGACAATTTGTCTAGTTATTGAGCTAGCTAAATCTTGCACAGTTAATTCTCTAAACATGTCATATTCGCTTGAACGCTTTTCATCTTGTTCTTGATGTCAACAGACAAGGTACTTTTGATACGCTCCAAAGATTCCAACAAACCCGATAAGATTATCCTTGATGATCGAACCATTTTCTTTATTAATTTATTTCATTTTTTTAATGCCTTTTAAGGTCAAGGTTTTTGAATTTTTATGAAAAATTCAATTTTAAAAAACGTTGCGCTGAATCACTTAAAAGTAAACCATATCAAAATGGAAGCATTTCGCATTGGTAAGGAAATTACCTTTATGTTATATAAAGTAAAAATCTAATACGGATAAACTTTATTTTTCTTGATTATCTACATAAGATAATATTTAAATTCAATTACTATTCAAATCATGAAAATTAAGGATTTATATCCTTAAACACGCAAAAATAATCTTAGCCATTCAGCCGTGATATCTCTTTGATAATCGAACCATATTTTATTTATTTTTTATTTCATTTAATATATTTTTATCTCTATTTCAAGATCGAGGTTTTTGAATTTTTCACAAAAACTTAAACCTTTCTGTATTAAATCGCTTAAAAGTGAACTTATCATTGATAGATAATGTGCTGTTCAATACCCTAAGTTTAATATCATTTCCTTATATAAATTAACGTAAATATCTAAAGTACATAAGGATAATGTTAATTCCTTTTCTTAATTATGTATATAAGATAACATTTAAATTTAATTACGGTTCAAATTATAAGAATTATGCGTCTAAATTCCGTGAGTTGGTAATAAACTTACTGCGAGGATTGAACTTAATAAAACAGGTTAAAAAAATGAAAAGAATAAAAAAATTTATTAAATTAGCCTCAAATAAAGGTAACTTAATTTAGATTTAATGCAATAAAATTTGAAATTAAGTTCGAGAAATTAAAATTTGATTTTTTTTTTCCATCATTTTAAAAAATGTAATTAACCTAGATATACTCAGTGATAGGTTACATGTTCCAACATTTTATTAATGTTTAAATTTAAACATTAAAATCATGTTTCTGGTAAAAATATAAAGGTAATTTAATATATTTTAAATAGGAAAAATAAAAAAAAATAATGTAAAAATATATAAATCCAAAAATTAAAAAAATAATTCAAAGAATGAATTAAAAAATTGAGGAAAGAAATAAATAAAACAGATATAAACTCAAATATAAATTAATTAAAACTGTTTTTAAAATTAATATTTATTCAATTAATAAATAAAGATATTTAGATTTTATATTTTAAAAAATACATTCCAAATATCTTCTTAAAACAATTCACGAATTAAACAAATATCTACACCATTAAATACTTCAATAAAATTAGTGTATTATCTTTGATTCAATGCCAAACTTCATCACCCTTTAGTTATTTTAAAGGAAGGAAAAAGAACGTATATAACCTATATATATACAAAAAAAAAAATTTTTTTTTTTAAGAAAGAGAGAAATATTCCCCTATTAAAAATTAGCATTTCACCTTCGAGTTAAATAATAAATGCTATTTAAGAAATAAATATTTGAAATGATAAAAATATAAAACAATATAAAATAGGAATTCGTTCTTGAAGGATACGTGATAGCTTGGGGTTGAAGTTTTATATAAAGAAAGAGAGATATACAGTTTGATAAAAGCCAATTAGCGAACTTGTTTGAAGGCTATTGTAGTTGCGCTTAATACCTCAAAGAAATATTTCTGGATTCTCTTTTATTGTCTGCCGCTTCATCTATTATCTTGCACAAGGCTTTTGTCTTCTTTCATACATAAAAACATTCGCTCATTATTTGCTTCTTATACCTTATCTGTGCTACTTTTATTATTACACATCACATGTATGTGTATATATATATATATATACATACACATATATGTATATACACATACACACACACATACACATACACACTTACATAAATATAAATAAATAAATAAAAATAAAACCGAAGTTGACACTTTCTTTATAAATTAGTAAGCAAGATCTTTACAGTAAAAACATCTTATTTAAGTTAATATAACGCTTATCAAATATATAATCGAGTGTAATTTTTAACAAGAAAAAAATAATAGAAAGGGTCCGTTAATATTTATGTTCATCTAGACAGATCGATGTTTGCGTGACAAGGAAATAGCGTGCAGTCTCATAATACTTGTCCTATGCAACGATTACATGTTGTGTGATATATCCATTAGTAACGCTAAATAGGCGTATGGAGGAGACAAAGGTAATCATTACAGCTTATATCACACGTCGTCATCGTTCTGTCGCCTTCGTGTCTTATTCTATTCGCTTAATATACAATTTTTTTAAATATATATATTAATTTTTTAAACTCTTTCTTCTCAGCTCTATCGTAACTGAGCGTCATAAATTTGTAACGTTATAGTTTATTTATTTATTTACATGTAAAGTACAGGAGAGGGGTTTTTCCCTAGCCTATAGTGGTTTCTACTCCTATAAATTAATATTATCTTTAATAACAGGAAATAAAATCTTCAAAACTGTTTTTTTTATTATTATTATCATCATTAATAAAGAAACATTCTACGTATTTCATTTGTTCAAAAAAACGGGGGGTCTGCTCTACCCTGAGGCCCCATTGTACAGATGCACGCGGAATGTCTTGGCCACCCCCGATAATATAACAAAATACCCTAATAAATTCTTTACTTAATTTTTCTATAGTTTATTAAACTAGAAATATAATAATTTATTTCATTTATAATTAATAAAGAATATAATTTTAAATAATTATAGATTTTTTAATTATTTAATTCTTCGAAAATATCTTTAAAAAGTTATAAAATGAATAATATATAAATTCATAGAAATACTTAATTTTTTGTATAATTTAATTAGAAATATATAATTTATATACTAATTAATGAAAGAGGAATACAGGAAATATATTTATAAATTTAATTATAGAATTACCTTCGAAGTTAAAAAAAATTAATTTTTTTTTCTCTTTAATCTGAATAAATGTTTCTATATACGTAGAAAAGAAATCATAAGCTATAATTAATAATGATTTAAACAAATGTAAACTAATACTTAACTATAAGAATGAATGATAACATTATTTTTTAATTCTTAATCATTATAAACTAAGAAAAACAATAAGGAAAAAAAGGAATTTAAAATGTATTTGTTTAAAATTCAACCCGGATATTTACTTAAAAAATCGATTAAATTTTATAAAGAAAACCAGAAATATTGCCTTAAGAAATTTTTATTCGGGATATTGAAATTGTAGATAAAATTTTAATTATAACAGGAAACAATTGTGTAATCTTTATCTTATAAATTAGAAAATTGGATATTGCAAACTTTATCAGGTCATTGCCTAAGTTTTTTTTTCTTAAATTTTATTTTTGTGATATATTTTAGCAAAGTTTAAAATATAAAAAGTGAATTTTAATTAATAAGTATGCTGCTCTAACAAAGGGAATTTTTTTTATTCCATTAGATTTGGTAAAATATGAAATTTTAAATTAGTTAATTAGGTATATCGAAATAGGCCCCTCTCACAGAGCGGATCAATAGGGCCATTTAGAGCTTGCCTCACATTCAGAAGATCTTAGAAACATTTAATTACAAATTATCCATTCCATTATTCTTGTGCATAAAAAATAATATATTTTATATTTATCAAGTTTTATTATTTAAAAAATAATTGTATGATGTTAGCCTGTGAAAGCCACTAAACGGTAAGTAACCCTCTGTCGAATTTAAACCCTAATTTCAGGGTATTTTTTTGATTTAAAAAATTATCGGTAATTTTGTAAATTTTTAATTATAAAGCTTACATAGAAGAAAGATAATAAAGATGATAAAAATGTATAAAGTGATAACTTAATTAAATATATTAAAAATAAATTAATTGAATATTTTAATCAAGAAAATTACAAAATTCGACGAAATGACCAACACGTGAAATGAATTGAAATTCTAGTAAACAATCGTTGTCATTGTTTTCCTAACACTTTGACATCCTTTTGTTAAACATTAGAAAAAAAAATAAAAATCCATTTTGTTGAGCAAAGTACGATTTCGTAAATTAAATCCAATTTATCANGCATTAAACACTAGGATAAAAGGGATAAAATAACAATTAATTATCTTTCGATTATATATCAGAAATTCAATTGATAAATCCACAAAATTTTCCTTTTTTTTTCTAACTGCATTTAAACTTCCTTTAAAATTCAATTAATTGCATGATATGGATGATTATTTATAAAATTTCTATAGGAAAAAATTAATATATATATACACGCCTATATCAATAAATAATGCATTCTATGTTATCCCACTTTTCTAATTTTATATCTTGTATAATTTGTAGTCGTAAATAACATAGAATTAAACACGAAAATAGAGGAAAAGATATTAATAAGATGGAGTTAAAATGGTTTTAAGAGAGATAAAAAAGCATTATTTTTTTTTTAGCAGACCATTGAACCTGTATCGAGCCATTAGTTGCGAGTTTAACATCGAATGAGCACGCAATGTCCCTTCTAACGATTCTACAACAAAATGATTTTCAGAATAAGAAAACCTGACGTCGGGGGGGACATTCTGCATGACGTCACGTGTCAACTTCCGCATGCTGTATATGCACGTGTATGCTCTCATCCGAAGAAAAGTTAATTTTTTTACACGCTTTTTAACAAGGAACATCTGTATGGAATCGTAGCTAAGCTATCAATTTTTCGCTCTTTTATCTCGAAGGAAACGATTTAAAAATCATCTAAAATTATGATTTTTCTTCAATTTAATCAAAATTTCATTAATAATTTATGAGTTCTAAGGGTGTATAATTATTTAATCTATCACTATTTCCCGCCAATTTGGCACGTATCAATCACATGATAACTTGGATAATTAGATATGAACTCGAGCTGAGCCGGATTTAACTCTTATCATTAAAGATAATAAAAGATTAATTATAATTTAATTGCTATCTATAAATAGATATTATCAAAAATTTTCTAAGAGTTTAATTTTTTTTTTACCCCTTAATTATTACAAGCTACACTGTTAACAATATATGAAAAAAAGAAGGAGCAAACATTTATTTTTTAATTTTTAAATTATTTAATGAAGATCTTTATCGATATTTTTATTATATTAAGAAATTTTATTATCCAAGTATGATAATGATTCGATTATTTTATAAACTTACACAATAATTAAAGGAATTTTATTGTTTTATAGCCTTAAAACCGCACGTTTTCATTGTAGCTTCTAGTGTGATTTTTTTAGAAAGTATGTGTTAGACATACTTAAAAAGGCTGCTTTACTTTTTACAAAATACAGTATGTTAGAAATACCTCAAGCTGTGTTTAGTAGAAGAGGTGTGTTACTAAAAGTTAACACAATTTTATAAATTAGTTACAAAGGTATGTGCTGTTTATAATTACAATAAGTTTCTACTTGACATAATAATACGAACATAATTTAAATAATTAAATATGATTTTTAATAAACAAAACATTAAATTATTACAATTTTTTTAATATTAAAGCTTACATTCGAAGACTTCTGTAAGTAACTTTAATACGTTACACGATAATAGCAGTGGTTTATAACTAATGAAAAACGTAACTTGTTAAACGTCGCACTCTTTATTAACGATAAACCACTACAAAATTCATAAATTAACTTAAAAAATAGGCAAATTAAACAACAAATTTGCTAAATTATCCCTCATTTTAGTAGTATTTTTCTCATTACTCTACTAGAACTAACGTTTCCTAAACGTTTAACACATTATCGTTAATAGTTAAGAGAAAAAGTAAACGTCTACAATTACAAAATCATTTAAATATTCAAGAAAAATTAAAGGAAAATAAGGTTTTAAAGCTGGAACACGTTTCGACTTGGCATGATAGTTATACTCCCTCTCTTTATGGTCATGCAAATGACCGTCTCATGATATTCCCACCCTTCATCTACTCAAGTAGTGGTGCATGAGTTCAATTTTCTTTACAACGTGACTTTAAGCAATTGACATTTTATCGTTTGAGTTAACTGCATAAGTCTCTAGTATAAAGTTACACGGCCTATTAACACAGGGAATTAGTTACTCGCTCACTGATTACTTCCAAACTATTTATTCTAGAATTTTATGTAGTGCATATGTGTTAAACTATACTGTATGCTTTAGAAAAACTGTAATATATACAGTTTTTTCTTAATTAATAGTAATATACGGGTGCAAATAGATTAGATTTTAATTTGTTTCCACGTATTGAATTAACTAAATCAATTTGCACTCATTAATTTAATTAAATTTTCTCTATAGTGTTAACTTTAATCTAGTTTTATTACTGTTTACAAGAGAATTTATTCGTGTTTTATGCATAAATTCGCTTCTAAAATTCCTCCAAAAATATACAGTATATTAATTAATAGGCCTATATTAATCGTAAAATTTTTATTTAAATATATTTCTGGCGGATTTTTAAGGTATTTAACTAAAAATTAATCTATTGTACTTCAATGTTGCTCTTGTTGGTGGTTTATTCAATTTTTGTAATTTTAAACAATAATTTTGGCCATTTGATAAAGATTTTTTAAAAATACTTTTTAAATTAATTGATTTTATAGTTTTATAATTTAATAAAAGCATTTTTAAATATGTATTTTTAATACGAAACACTAGAATGGCATCATTTCTATTGAAATTATTTAATGTATAATGTATTTTTTTTAATTTAATATATTTAATATATTTTTCTTTGAATTAAATTAAATAATTGTTTATAAATTCTAAAAAAATATCTAAATTTTATTTAAGTATCATAAAGTAGCATTAAACACTAGGATAAAAGGGATAAAATAACAATTAATTATCTTTCGATTATATATCAGAAATTCAATTGATAAATCCACAAAATTTTCCTTTTTTTTTCTAACTGCATTTAAACTTCCTTTAAAATTCAATTAATTGCATGATATGGATGATTATTTATAAAATTTCTATAGGAAAAAATTAATATATATATACACGCCTATATCAATAAATAATGCATTCTATGTTATCCCACTTTTCTAATTTTATATCTTGTATAATTTGTNATTTATTTATATAAATAAGTTCTAATTTTATATCTTGTATAATTTGTAGTCGTAAATAACATAGAATTAAACACGAAAATAGAGGAAAAGATATTAATAAGATGGAGTTAAAATGGTTTTAAGAGAGATAAAAAAGCATTATTTTTTTTTTAGCAGACCATTGAACCTGTATCGAGCCATTAGTTGCGAGTTTAACATCGAATGAGCACGCAATGTCCCTTCTAACGATTCTACAACAAAATGATTTTCAGAATAAGAAAACCTGACGTCGGGGGGGGGACATTCTGCATGACGTCACGTGTCAACTTCCGCATGCTGTATATGCACGTGTATGCTCTCATCCGAAGAAAAGTTCTCATTAGTTTACTAAGAAGAGGAACCAGTTCGTTCTCTTAATTCTATCTTAATGGGCGTAATGAAGGGGTCGTGTTATCGAAATAGACCTCGGGCAAACACGTTTTGGAGATTAGATGGGGGGCCTCTTTGCCATTTCTATCAAGTATCCTTGATGATATGGCACAAACACTCCGTAATTTGATACTCGCTCTTGTATAAATCTATTTTGTTCTACACATTCCGTACTGATTTATAAATAGTGCTTAATGGTAGTTTTCCACTTAGTTCGAGTTGAATATGTTTTAAATCGATTTATTATGCCTCAAATATTATATATAAATGAATATATTATCGATTTAATTAGCAGTTTACTTATTTTACATGATTTTTAAAAACAAATTATCTCAAAATCTACAAATGTTATTGCATTTCTCATATTAAAAATTACTAAGTTCTCCTCCATTCTTACCTCAAAAATCTATAAATGATGCTACTACTAATCATCTTAGCAATTTTTAAGGTAGAAGTAATAGCTTTCATAGATATTTTACGGTAGTTTAAAGGAGGGAAAAACTTAAAAATTATTAAGTTCCTCCTCCTTAAACTACCTTAAATTTTAATGTTACTACTCTCACGTTAAAAATTACTAAGTTCACGCCCTGATAATCGTGCAAATATTGATTTTTTAGTCAATAAATTCATAATCTTGTATTATATGAAGATTAAACTCTTGTTACTATGCTTTATGAGTGGTTACATCGCGTGCTTAAGTTAAATTAAAACAGCACGAAACTATTTAGGGCCCACTCATTAATAAAATGCAAGATGACATGCGATCTTCGCATTATAAGCTAATATAGCTTCTATAATTTGTTACTATTTGATGATAAAATCTGTTATTTTTAATTTTTTTAATTTTTTACATTATATATATACTATAAAAGCCCTAGATTAAGTTTTAAGGGCCCTTTTGAGTCATTTAATTTACTATCATTACTTTAAAGTATTTATTAATATTTTATTAAATAATTCACAAATATTCTGTAATTTGTTCGATAAATATTAATTTCAATTAAATAGATTTATTACTGTGGTGGTTTCCTGTATAATAGATCAGTAGTTTAAGTATGTTTATTATATTTTAAGTATGTATAGTAGTCTATAAAATATTTAAATGTTAAATATGAAGAAAAATAAAAGAAACGTCTTTATTTACGCGTTTAACACCAAAATTAACTTTAAATTATTTTTAAAATTGAATATATTGTTTCTAACTTACCCAATAAGCAACAAAAAATCACCTATTCTCTTCTTAATTCTTATTTTTTTCTCAATTCTTATAATAAAGCTTAAAATGAATTAAATATATTTATAAATAATGGTTCTGACATATTAAATTCAAAATAAAATGGCTCGTAAATGATTAAAAAAAAAAAGTCAATATCAGTATCAAAGACCATCTAAAGAGCTATTATTAAATTAAATCTTAAAATTTTCTATAAAATATAATAAATATGACTCTTTTTTTATTTTAAAAACAATTAAAAACCTATTTAATATATATTAATCATATATGCCTTATATATAAATTGCTATGCTTATATAGGCACTTATACCTTGTTACAAAATACGTATAGGTCTAATGCAGTTTTAGATAGGCCTACATGAAACCTGGGCCTCGTGGTTTTAGTATCTTCAGACACCATATAGGCTATATAGGCTATATATATATGCACGTCGATGCTTAGTCTAGTACTAAGTTAGGATCCTATATTTTGTCATTATCAAATACTGTACAATAATACCCACTTTGCAAAGGATCCTATACAGACTTATATAGTATGTCTATAGTCTAGAGAGCATGTATGTATCTATGCATTGATCTATACATAGTCTATACAAAATGCTCTTTTTTTAAATAAACTTTATCGCTAATTTTATGAAAATGTTAATATTACTTTTAATTTCTTTTAATTATTATTAATTGAAATTCATTTCCTTCAGACACTGTCTAACGGAAAGAATATAACTTTTATATACTTCACTTCTTTATATAAATTAAAATTTCATATACTTTTGTTTCAACAAACTTATAATAACCTTAATAAAGGTAAAAATTAAAAACTTTTAAACAAAAATAAATGTTTATTTTATAAATCCTTATGATATCAATAGTTATTTAATCATAACTTTACGGCTAAATCAATGCTTTATATGTATATAAACTGTATAAATTATAGTAGTTTAGATATTTTTTAAAAGCTTTCAGTAATAAAAACCCTAAAATTTGTATTTTTAATTAGTTTATTTTATTAAAATCAGGACAATTCGAGGAGCGTATAATATATTTCACATACAACACAGAAATATAATTAAACATTCCTAGAAAAATTACCCTTTGTTTAAAGCTATTTATTTTAAAACACAATTAATTATATTTTCAAACAATTTCTTTATCTTTGAAAATGTAGCCTTAGGCCCTACAAACACTAGCCTAAAGCAATTATCATTTAAAAATTCATTTTATTGAAATTTTACACACGAAATTCGAACAAGTGTGTGTTTGTATGTGTGGAATATAGCGTATATATTATAATCTTTCCGTTCTTATCTCTCGTAAAGTTTAAGGAATTTTTATAAAATAAATTAAGTTAAAAACACATTTACAATGTATTGTTTTAAATGTGTTCGTAAATATATATATATATATATAATATAAAATAGTTTCCTTTATTCGTACAAATATATATAAATGCAACTAGAGCAACGTCATAAAAGGGTATTATTATTATTATTATTGTTTGATTTCTATAGTAAGAGATTCGCTACAAAGATTTCTTTTTTTAATGGTCAAACAAATGCCATAGTGTTATTTGAAAGTAGCTGAAGAAGGTCTGAAGAGGAATAAAATCTCATTCAATCCCTTCTCACGTCATCACACAATCCTTCTTTCACCTGCAGTAAAAATCTCCTAACAATTAGAAAACCGAGATTAGAGCGATAAGAATTTAAGAATTCCTTAGAGATTTCCTGGTCTGTAAGCAATTTGTGCACTTTATAAGAGAGATCTTTTATAACCTGACGGGAAAAATTAAAGAATTGCTTATTTAGAAACTAGGGTGTGTCGAAAACTGTTAAAAGTATATATAATTCTTACCCCCCTCTTTCTTAGTTGTCGCCGTTTTTCTTGATATGAATTGTAGCTGTCACCTGTATGTCTATCTCTTGTCGACAGGTGTGGCCTGGTGACCGCTCGTGCTATATAAGTACATCCTACCTGCTGTCTATCTTCTGGGGCGGAGTCTGATTTTTCGAATATGTGAGGTCTACGTTTGTTTCCAAATGTCCACTTATATGCACGACACATCTTTTTTTATGAAACTAATTAAAATTCTTACCTTTAAGAATGTTTTATTTTGTATTAGATCCAAAATAACTGAACTTTTAAACTCATTTTAACACCTTCAACATCTTCCGATCAATTTGAAGAGTTCTAGATATATATATATATATATATATATATAGACCTAGTTTATAATACTGACATTTTAATCCCAAGTTCTTATGTCCGCTTTTATCAGAATTATTAATTTAAATATCGAATAATTACAATTATTCTATATTATGCACATAAAAGTGTAGAGATAAGAATGACTTTAGATGATAAACGTGCACGAAAATAGCATGTTTATCGCCTAATGTAAGGTATGGCTTATATAACTGATTTAATTTAAACATTATTGTCGCTCAGAGCCTGGTTTAGACTCATTGTGGCCCCAAGCTATAATATATAAGAGGCTCTTCCACAACCAAATAATAAATTTTAAAGCATGAGGCCCTAAACTGTATCCTCGTAGTTGAGGCCCTGAGCTGTAGCTTACAGATCTATAAAAAGGAACAAACTCAGAGTGTGCTCCTTTTTCATACGTCTACTATCATCGCTGCTGATTAAGGGGTGTTTATATTCAAGGATCTCCAAGGGATGCGCGCGCTATTTATTCACCGCGCGGCTGTCTCAAACCTCATTTTCTGTAATATTTATGATAGGTTTGGCCTTCTTTTTTACTCCCGTTTTATTTCGTTATCAATATATGTTATGTAAATAAGTTCTTCGTTTTATACTGTTTTTCTCAAATATACTACATTTGTTTTTACATTTCCAGTCAATTTTCTGCAGACTTGCATTTATACATCGTTGTGTATAGATTTTTGTTTATTGTAGTGTGTAGATTAATCAATGTGTATAGTTTTTGAATATAGTATACAGAATTTAATGTAGATTTGTATAAATTGTATATAGATTACTACATAATGTATAAGTTTGTGTATAAGTATAGTATATACAATTTAGTGTATAGAGTAGTGTTGTACATATGTATTTAATGTACAGTTCACTGATAGATTAGTATATATGTTTGTGTATAGTGTTAACTTAAATTTATTTTTGAATTATGGAACTTTTTTACATTACATACTCAGAGCTAAATGTTCACTTCTCTTTACAAATAAGATACATAAATTAAAATAACTGCATATTATTTATGAAGAGTAATATAAATCTAGATATAAAATTATCTTACAAAAATTGAAAACATGAATATTTACAATTCTCAAGCTTATTAACAAGTTAGAAATCTTTGAGTTAATTAAAGTAATTCAAAAAAATTCTGTTTCATGGGTTTCTAATAAACTTAATAATATCATCCATGTTTTGATTAGAATTATGCTTTNATTGTTTCTGCGATTCGACAATGTTGTAGAATTTTAAATTATCCGCATAACCGCACTAAATATAACAATGAAATGTTTAATAAATCACGCAGCAATTTAACGTTCTATAAGAGAATCACACAATCACGTCCATCACGAGGTAAAGTCACGTCAAAGCCTGAAGGAGGAGTGTTGTATAAGTCACGAATAACCTTTGGTGGATGTCTGACAGGCCTTTAAAGATAATTAACAACAGAAACACTTAATTATGTGGTTGTTGTTTAACTCGTACACTAAATATAGACTGACTTCTGACGTTGACTTTTTCAAGGACATGAAAAATGGAAGCAAAACCTATGAGCATTAACTTTAAATTGAGTTACAAAGATGAAATATTCGTATATAACAGCTAAGAATTTAATTTTTATTTCTTAAATATATGTATAAATGTATAATTAATTAATACAGCCATCAATTTTAATAGGATTTCTCGAATATTTTTTCTTAAAAAAATTTTGACATTCATAGCAAAACGTCAGTAAGAATACATTAAAGTTACAAGAGTAACCAATGTCAGAGGACTCCACCCCAGTAGAAGGACTCTGCCAACTGTCTAATACATTATTTTTCATATAGGTCTAATTAATCACACCCAGCAAAAGGGAGGTTAGTAAAGTCACTTGGCTCTGTTGGCCCTCACTATCTGTGCCTCAACTCTAATCTATGTCTAAACTAAACTTTATATATGGGCCTTTTGATTAAATTTTTTGGCCCCGAAGTCATAAGTATTCCTAATAAATTCACTTATAGGCCTTCGCCTCTCAGTGTAATTTCTATATATATATTTCTGTCTATTAAAATAAAATATTATTAATTTTATTCGAGTAAAAACAGGAAAAACCATAATCTGTAATTGAGCATTATATCATCTTCCTGGAATTTTTTAAATTATTGATCATAATTCACGTCATACAGTGTAATAATATGGAAATTACAGGCCTCAATACATAGTTTACTCAGTTAACAACGTTACATGATTTAGCTCGTATTTTTGTAATAATTAAATTAAAACAAAAAAAGAATTATTACGGATTAAACAATATATTTTAAATGCAAATGTTTATTAAATAATTTAAAAAGTAGTGTTAGGTAAGATGTACGAATACCAAGTTTCTAGTTTCAAGAGACTTTTGTTGCTCAACATGCTCAAAATAAGAAAGAAATTTGTATAAAATATCAGACCAAGATAGGCCCAAAAAACTGCCCTTCTCTATCTTGGCCTGAACATTATAAGAGTCGGCGTAGAGTAAATTTTGGCCTAAATACCAACCCAAAATCGAATCTTTTGTGTAAAAAACAAGAATATTATATGAATTAATCTTTTGATTATTAGTAATAAATCTGTTTTAATGGTTTTATTAGTGTGCTTTTATAGCGTTGGGAGCCCACATTTTTGACGTAGAAGAAGAGAAATGCAGAGAAGTGAAATTTACTTGACATTTCTTTCCAAGTTTTGGATATAAGAAGTGTCAAGTAAATCTTCCACAAAGCATAGAGATCACAAATATATTTACCAGGAAAATAAAAGATAAATTTGACTTCATGTTTTAAAAAATCTAAGAAAATTTTTAAATTTTGTCATTAATGATCTTCTTAAAGCTCAATTTTTAACAGGATTAATGAGATTCGGGATAGACAAATAACAGCAGAATTATATATTAATGTTTATTATAACTTTATAAAACCTCATTATGTAAAAGTAAATGTTCCATTGTAGATTAACTCCGCCTTTTCTTACTGAATTTACTAAGAATAGATTATTTATTAAGATAAGTTTAGTTTAAGTTTACTTAAAACAATAGAATATAATAAAAATAAAAAATAAATAAATGAGTAATTACATAAATGTAATTTGAACTAAATCTTATTATTATGTACAGTACTTTAATAACTATTAGAAGTAAACCTTGAAGGGAAGGGACGATTCAAAATATGATACAATGCTAACTTATATACAGAAGAGTACAACATAACAGGTTTAGTTGCTTCTTGTATTTAATTCTATAAATACAGCAGATATACTGTATTTAGAAAAATGTATTTATAGATAAAATGGAAAAAAATGCACGGTTATAAATTATAGCTTGAAACGAACTATATATTTAGTTTATGTATAATTCAGTTGCTATAACTTATAAACAGTTGATAATTATTGTAATTAATAGAATTTTCTTCAATTGACATAGGTCCAGATGGATCCAGTTTTCTGCTTCACCCGTTCAGAAAGCCAAAGAGGATCAGGACCGCATTTTCACCTTCTCAGTTATTGAAATTAGAACACGCATTCGAAAAGAATCACTACGTGGTAGGAGCCGAAAGAAAACAGTTGGCTCAGACTTTAAGCTTAACTGAAACGCAGGTGAGTACCTAACGGGTGTGGTCACCAGTATTTAGCAATGATATGGCCTAGGGGATAATTTGTTGTGGGTGTGTTTGGTGTTAAATTGAAAGGCGGGCAAGAAAAAGGATAATGAACGGGGTTACACGGAAGTTCTTACAAAACAGTTCAATAAGAATAAATCTGTCTTTCAATACTTACCCATCAAACACCTGAAAAGGAAAAATATATGACTAAACTTGATAAAAATATTAAGGATAAAACAATAATTACTTACATCATATCATTTTTTCCTTGTGTGCTTCTCAGAAAATTAATACAACCAGCGCCCTAAATGATACCAAAGAATATAATTAATATTTTAAATCGATAATTATAGTAATTAAATTTTTAAATATTTATAATATTATCAATTAGAAAGATAACTTTTGAGTTCTAGATCAATATATATATATAAGTTATATATTATAGAAATGAAGTTACCTGTATAATTAAATCATGTCATTTAATTCACGACGTTAGTAAAGAGTTTTCAGTTAGGAAATTTTTGAAAATAATTCTGTCAATCCATCAACAAGATTTTTTTTTCTTTCTTTCTTTCAAATTGACATTATCTAGAACGATGCTAACAAGCTGTTTAAGTAGAACGAATATACATATATGTTCGATAAACTGTCACTTTATTGACAACATTCAAGATCGATAGATTTGTTGCCTGAAGAAATAATAGCCACTTCGAATAATTAATAAAGAAATGTCAGTATTCATTATAGATAAATCGTGGTTTAAAAATATATATATATCAGTTAAACTATTCTTCTATTCAAATTAATTATGTAATATAGACTATAATCAGTTTTTTTATTTAGAATAGCCTTTTAAATTTTAATTAAAGTCTTACGTAAATTTTAAATTTCATAAATAGCCTTATACAATATATAGTCATTTAAATAAACAGATTTTTAAAATCTAAAATGTAGTCTCATGTAAATTATAAAAATTTTAAGTATTAGCCTTAAGTTTAGTCTTTCAAATTATAAATTTTAAATGTAAGTTTATATAAAATCTAAACTTTATATTTAGCTTTATTTACAGCTTCTTAAATTGTACTGAAAATGAAAAATTTTAAGNATCGCGTAACGTCGTGTCTTAATTATAATTAACTGCGTAATTCGAGGATTTAAAGCCACAGGGATTAAATCTAAAAATGTGACATCATTCGTCGACGTAAGTATCATCCTGTCAATCAGTTTAATAAACATTTACTACGTAACGTAATCCTTCAGAAAGAATGAAAAAAGTCATTCTATTAAAAAGGAAATAACTTTCGAACTAATTGTGAAAGTTGCCCTCTTTATAAAAAGAATAATTCCAATTTTTTTTCAATAATTACTTCACTTCATTGATTACACTCGAAGCATTTCTTCTTCTTCTTTTCTTCTATTAAAAAAATCCAGCAACGAGTTGCATAACTTTCCCGGCAACGACATTCAAAACTCTGTATAACGCCATCTGTTATGATATTTTACTGAAAATGAAAAATTTTAAGACAAAATATTGCTTTTTAAATTCTCTTGAATTGCTCTTTAAATTAAAATTAAAGTCATACCGGTGTATAACCTTTTAAACTCTGAATATTCTGAGAAATTTTCTTAAAATTCGAGTAGAAGCCTTTTAAATTCTATCTCAAAAAAGTTAATTAAAGCACATTCATTAATTTATTATCCTGATTAACTTAAATTAACTCTAATAAATAAAGTAGTAAAAGCATTAGTCATAAATTAAACATGAAAATTTATGAGTTCAAATTCTTCTCCTAGAGCTTTAACATACATTTTAAATGAAATTTTACCTTTAAGAAAAATTAGAAAACATTAAAAATGTATTTAAAAACATAAATAAAATTAATTTTCTTAATACTATTAATAAAAAAAAATTACTTCAATCATTCATACCGATGGTAGGCCTACTTAAAACATAGAAAATTAAACATAATTTATTTTATTATTGCTTTTAAAAAAAATAATACATTTTCTTTTGTGCAATATAAATAAATTTAATTTTTTTTAATTGAATGTTTATGCTTAATCTAGGGCATTCAAGATTATGTTGATGCAAAAATCATTAGCCTGAATTTAGAATGATTTAAAATGGGTTTTATTCACAATTATGTATAAGAAATCACGATTTGTAAAGAAATCTGTGCCCCTTTTCAACAACTAAGATAACCTAATTAGAAACAATTGATAAATAATTGTAATTTGTTAATTGTATTGATATCTTTTGTTTTTTCTTTTTTAATTTTATAAATATATTTGTAGGAAAAATAGGATGATATGTTAAGAATACCCGGTAAAAATATTTTTCCTTCATTGCTTGGGGCTTAGAAAATGTTTAAAAAATCAGAACACACACTTAAAATTGGAAGAGTAAACTGGATTATCTTAAATTAGAATTACGAAAGATTACTTTGAATTTATAATAAGGGCGGATAAAGTAATTAAACAAGTTTATAATACAAAGAAAAGTCATTGATTTGATTATTCATCTCTTATAATGATTTGGCTTTAACGTGTTACAATATTAATAAGTGTTATTTATAGATAAAAATACTTTATTTTATTTTTAAAAATCCCCATTTGATCTAATTATTTTCTTATAAAATAAAGTTAATTACAAATTTTGTAAACTATGAGTTTAAATACTGAATTTTTTACATTATTAAGAATTAATATCTTTATATAGAATGAAAACATTTAATTTATTAATAAAATTTGAGTTTTTAATACATAAATTTTTAAAATCACTAATTGTATTTTAGTAATTCTTCAATATAATATCTTTATTTAGGAACTAAATTATTGCTGATAGGATCAAACTCATTAATTTATAGCAATATTACGTGTGATATAACGCAATTAAGGCATACATATAATCAATTCTACACTTTTAATATTCAACCATATCAACAGATTTATCTCTACATAAAAATGAACAATAATTCATGTCTACATACAGAATATTTTTTACATTAACTAGGTTAATTCATCCATTTAGAGGGCTGATGAACTATTAAAAAGGCAATTCTTCCTCTGTATAAGCTACTAATGAGAAATTAAAAAAAAAAAATTAAAAATAACTTAATATCCGATTAAATGTGCCTTAAAGTAAAGGCTCTAGGCTTTACAAATAGGCTAGCTTTAGGCTGAAAGAAGATTAAACAATGTAAATTATTGTCGCAACTCAATTTAAAGGTATTTTTTAATTACCTTTAAAGCTATTAAGCACAAATTAATTAATGTAAATTTACTTATAAACTTTTTTAAATGCCAGAAGGATAGGCGGGATAGATAATTTCTTAACTTTTAATTTTTTTATGTTATTTTTAATTTATAAATGTTTATATATATATATATATATTAAGAATAGGGGCATTTAACTCGACGTTTACGTTAACTAATTTATTCTACAGTCTTATATATATATTTCCTTCAACAAAAGAGGNGTATTGATATCTTTTGTTTTTTCTTTTTTAATTTTATAAATATATTTGTAGGAAAAATAGGATGATATGTTAAGAATACCCGGTAAAAATATTTTTCCTTCATTGCTTGGGGCTTAGAAAATGTTTAAAAAATCAGAACACACACTTAAAATTGGAAGAGTAAACTGGATTATCTTAAATTAGAATTACGAAAGATTACTTTGAATTTATAATAAGGGCGGATAAAGTAATTAAACAAGTTTATAATACAAAGAAAAGTCATTGATTTGATTATTCATCTCTTATAATGATTTGGCTTTAACGTGTTACAATATTAATAAGTGTTATTTATAGATAAAAATACTTTATTTTATTTTTAAAAATCCCCATTTGATCTAATTATTTTCTTATAAAATAAAGTTAATTACAAATTTTGTAAACTATGAGTTTAAATACTGAATTTTTTACATTATTAAGAATTAATATCTTTATATAGAATGAAAACATTTAATTTATTAATAAAATTTGAGTTTTTAATACATAAATTTTTAAAATCACTAATTGTATTTTAGTAATTCTTCAATATAATATCTTTATTTAGGAACTAAATTATTGCTGATAGGATCAAACTCATTAATTTATAGCAATATTACGTGTGATATAACGCAATTAAGGCATACATATAATCAATTCTACACTTTTAATATTCAACCATATCAACAGATTTATCTCTACATAAAAATGAACAATAATTCATGTCTACATACAGAATATTTTTTACATTAACTAGGTTAATTCATCCATTTAGAGGGCTGATGAACTATTAAAAAGGCAATTCTTACTCTGTATAAGCTACTAATGAGAAATTAAAAAAAAAAAATTAAAAATAACTTAATATCCGATTAAATGTGCCTTAAAGTAAAGGCTCTAGGCTTTACAAATAGGCTAGCTTTAGGCTGAAAGAAGATTAAACAATGTAAATTATTGTCGCAACTCAATTTAAAGGTATTTTTTAATTACCTTTAAAGCTATTAAGCACAAATTAATTAATGTAAATTTACTTATAAACTTTTTTAAATGCCAGAAGGATAGGCGGGATAGATAATTTCTTAACTTTTAATTTTTTTATGTTATTTTTAATTTATAAATGTTTATATATATATATATTAAGAATAGGGGCATTTAACTCGACGTTTACGTTAACTAATTTATTCTACAGTCTTATATATATATTTCCTTCAACAAAAGAGGTTACTCACATTCTGACGTTTAAAATTACGACTCCGAGGCGTGATATTATTAGTAGCTCGAAATCCGCGTTTAAAAACAAGTTTATGAACTGGACAACTCATCCAGGCCAATGCCACCCCTTGGGGCCAAATTTTCTTCCGCTTTTTAAAGTAATTGAACGCCCCCTCTTCTATAGAAAGAGGGATTTTTCTTGTTACTTCAAGTAAAAACTAAAAAATAAATTAAAATAAATAAATAAATAAATAGAAAATTCATGAAACTGTGGGGGATATTCACAAATACTCAAGGTTAATACGATCACGATGCATTATCTTTCATTTATTTTCCGAATATCCTCCCACGTATCATTAAATGTTTTAAATGGGGTAAGCATAAGGTTAATCAGTTTTCTTTTTTTCTAATGATAATTTTAGAATCATGATTGACGTAACGGGTCCTACAACTTTTTCATTTACTTCACTTTGTTTTTTTTTTTTGTTGTTGTTGTTGTTATTGTCAATTTATGTCAATCAGATAAGTGATTGACGTTTTGTTCCAAACAATCAACGTTTTTCCTTTCACGTTTCTAACGGGTGATAATTTTTGAAAAATTTAATTATCATTTTTACTATTATAAATGACAGCTTACAATTAGTAGATTTTTATCACATGGTTCGCTACTTAATTAGATACCGTGTTTCTTTTTCTTCTTTACTTAAGATTGAAGATTCTTATTTAAAGTTGCTTTTTAAATATTTACTGTCCTTCGGCTATTAAAAGTAGTTGAATGTTACTTGAAAAAGTCATTGTTTTTATGTAAGAAAAGCAAAAATTTTCTAGTTTTTATTCAACTATTTTTATAGAATGAAACAATGCAGCAGTTTGTATGCTGTTATAACTTGTTACTTCATTTATTGCTGCTCTAACCATTCTACTCAATCTATTGCATTTCTCATAAAATTATACGTAATAATTTGTTAAAATTACATTAACTGTAAGCGTTAAATATCATTGTTTACAATTAGAATTAAGTGTAACTTAATTTTAATAATTCTAAAAAAGCATTATGATTATCAGTATAATTCTCTATCTACAATAATATATAAAAATTTATCTTATCGTTTATTTATTTAAGGTTAAAGTGTGGTTTCAAAATCGGAGGACCAAACATAAACGTCAAAAACAAGAAGAACAAACAGGTCGACAGAGATCCGAAGACGAACAAAATGAAGATAAACAATCGGATGACAAAATGGACAAAAATGACATAGATGACGATACAGAATCTGAAGGTGGGGATGATCAATCGGCGGAAGATCATAGCTCTTGATGTAAAAATATAAACTTTTTGAATTTTCTTGCTCAAAAAAAGGAAATAAATAATAATTATTATAATTATAATTGATCTAAAAGAATGCCGTCCTTACATAACTGGATAATTGATTCCAGTATGCGATCAAAAGTAAAATAACTATTAAAATAGAAGTCCTTTATATAAAGATATAACTAAGTAATGATTCTACTCTTTCTATTTTTGTTGCCAAAAGAAATCGCATTTTAATCTGTTTTTTTCTTTTTTAAATTATGTAACTGGAAGTGTGCCAAAGTTATAGTAAAATTATCATCATTATTGGGAATGTAATTAAACAAAAATAAGTGTTAAAAATCCATAAAGAATTGTCAAGACTTCAGAAAAGAGTGTAAAAAAAAATTCAAAAATATGTTAAAATTTTAAAATTTTGGGAAAAATACATATGCAAAGAAGGGGAACTTTAGAGTAGACTTTTACTAATTTTTTAAAGGCAAAAAATTGACCAAATTTTGGCAATTTTTACTTAAACAAAAAAATTGTTTATATTTTTCTCGTTTTATTTATTTTACTTATGAATTTTTGTATTCCTTAATTTCAAGCGGCTTCTAAGAAAATTATTATATATATATATATTTACCGTGTTTATTATGTTAAATAAAATACGGTAAAATACAGAAAATAAGATATATTTTTGTAAATATCTGTAAAGAAAAAAGAGAAAATGAAGAATTACATTAACATGTAAGTTATTTGTTGACATTAAAGAAACAATACATTTTATACACAAATATAGATCTGATATCTGATTGATTTTACTGAAAGTTGTAAAAATAAAATAAAGAAAATATTATAATTATATAATTTTATACTTATAAATTTTAAAAAAATCTTTAATAGAAATCTCATAGAAGAGGAGAATTATGTTAATGATTTAAAGANTTAAGAAAATTTTATTTTATTTTATTAATAAAATACTTTTATTTTAAGTAGAAGTTTAAAAGTAGATTTCTATCTGAATTTTTAATGAAAGTTATTGAAGATCTTAATTTATTATTTATTATTATTATTAGAGGGAGTGCCTTATTTACACGCAAGCTAAATAAGCTACGGCATAGAGTATCGTATTTTGTTATAATTTGAAGGGGAAGGATCTATTATCTGTTATAGCTTAAGGCTTCAACAAGTTCTTAACCTCTAACGTAAGATTTAAATAAGGAACTTAATTTATTTAAACAAAAAAATTATAATCAGTAATCGCTTTAAAACAGGCCTACAATGTTAATATTATATAATATATTCGTGTATAGAATACCATTGTATACATAAGTATACATTCTGTATTATATAAAGTAACTCAATTTATATTATTTTACAAAATGTAGATAAAAATATGCCACTGTCGAGTCCGGATTCGCGCCTGACAAACGGACTGACCAAGTGGAATTTTCCGGGTTTTCTTCACGTGTATAACACCTAAATAAAGTACTGTACAATTCCCACAAAGTTCCCGGGAGGTACTTCTTGGTAGAATCCCTGATGGTGCTTTGCCTTATCCCATCAAACATCAAACAAACTAAAAGATCGTTACTCGAATATCCTTCCTCTTTGATCACGTAAATACTATTTTAGTAGATTACGTATAGATAAAAGTATTGTTTCTGCGATTCGACAATGTTGTAGAATTTTAAATTATCCGCATAACCGCACTAAATATAACAATGAAATGTTTAATAAATCACGCAGCAATTTAACGTTCTATAAGAGAATCACACAATCACGTCCATCACGAGGTAAAGTCACGTCAAAGCCTGAAGGAGGAGTGTTGTATAAGTCACGAATAACCTTTGGTGGATGTCTGACAGGCCTTTAAAGATAATTAACAACAGAAACACTTAATTATGTGGTTGTTGTTTAACTCGTACACTAAATATAGACTGACTTCTGACGTTGACTTTTTCAAGGACATGAAAAATGGAAGCAAAACCTATGAGCATTAACTTTAAATTGAGTTACAAAGATGAAATATTCGTATATAACAGCTAAGAATTTAATTTTTATTTCTTAATTTTATGTATAAATGTATAATTAATTAATACAGCCATCAATTTTAATAGGATTTCTCGAATATTTTTTTCTTAAAAAAATTTTGACATTCATAGCAAAACGTCAGTAAGAATACATTAAAGTTACAAGAGTAACCAATGTCAGAGGACTCCACCCCAGTAGAAGGACTCTGCCAACTTTTATGATAAATATTGCATTCTTAATAGTAATCTACACTTAATATTCTCTAAATGCAACCTATAAAGTTGTCTCTTTATTATTTTTTTTTATTTACGTAATATAATTATTATAACAAACTCAGAGGCGAGTACGAAGCTTTAAAGTTAAAATTTGTTAACGCCCTTTAATAGAGGCAACTATGAATCAACAGGGTTGTGTAGGAATTTAGGATGAATTCAATTCACGTCTTCGGAATTAAGGAAATTCAGTTAACCCCGCTCTACACGTGACTTTATGAATAAAAAACCACTCCCCTATTTAGCCTGAAATGTCCTATTGAGGATGCGTGAAATGCTCTACATGTTGAATATTCATAAAATTCAATAATGTTTCCAGGGCTTCTGACATTTGTTCGCTTATAATAGGTCTAGTCGATGTTGAATTTTAAAACTGAATTAAGCATGAAAAGCAGAACACGGGAAGTATGGATTAACATTCGCGGATTTTAAATATTTTGCTATTTATTCTATGAATATCGAAGATACTTTCTGTAATATTCGCATAAGAACATAATGCATCTATTTAATAATGTTGTATGCATTAGCACGAGCATTTCATATATTCATCTTGAACCTAATGATAATACTAGATATATTCGAATGTCAGATATGATCATGCTGAGCTAATATTAGACAGATTCGTATTGAACTAATGTCAAATTCACACAGTATATATTAAACATTAGCGTAGGATACAAGATACAATATATGTATTCATGTTGTGCTAATGTTTAAATCATTGCTAAATAATTGAATTATATTCTATAAATAAATTAAACATAATCAACCAAAACATAAGCAATTATTCAGTATAACAACAATACAATAGAAGTCATGAGCTTACAGACACAAGAATAATTAATATAAATTTTATAAATTAACCTTTTGATAATTAATATTATTTTCGTGAAACTAAAATATCGTTTAGTTATAAAAAGAATTTTTTTAACAAAAGAAATTTAGATTTATAAAGAGTAAACAATAATTTAAATTGTTAACAAGTGTTTAAGATTTAAAGTGTTAACAAGTTCATTATTTCAAAGGAAACGTGTTCTAGCTCAGTAGGAAATTATTTATAGCTTTCAATACTGGTGTACGTGAGTTAAATATATGCAAACTATTCAAAGGATACATATAAATCGGTATTTCTCTTAATAGAATCCCGTTAGATGCGGTCCAGGTGTTTCCATATCATTACTTCCATATAGGTCTAATTGTCATAATATAAATTGGCAGCTGTCCCTATCCTATTCTTCTTGACTTAGATCAATTCGATTATAATTGTAAACTGCTTGTGGCATGGAATTTGAGCCGTATAACTCTAACCAAACAAGAGGATAAATTATGTAATGCTATATTGTCCTTATTTGATGCATGATAAACAGAGCTGTGTCTTCGCTCCAATTGCATTCGTTGACTTAACACATCAAATATTTGACTGTTATAGGTCTAGAATAATTGGTGTAGAATAATTAATTGGTTCATATTAACTGTATAACACTTCGCTTCCTAATTAAACTATAGAATCAAATTATAATGAGTATCAATCTATCCAAGATATCTAATTCCTTGATAGTTAAATGTAAAAAAAAGGGGTGATAAATTAACACTTAATCACTCCTTAATATTTACATAACAAAAGACAATGGCGTAAAGAATTAATTGGTTTGTATTGACCGGAGTAACAGTTCACTATGATTAAAACTATTCAAAGTAATGGAATGTTTTTAGATAAATCTATGCTGGGTATCCAATCTCTTGTTAATTAAATGTTATAAAAAAAAGTGATAAATGAAAGCTTAATCACTTCTTAATATTTACATAATAAAGAGGGGAAAGACATAGAAGAGATTGTATAACAATCAACAAGTTTTCAAACCTCATCGATATTCTGTAGGAAGAACAGGACGGCGATATTCAAAATGAATGTGAAGAGTGCAGGTGCAAGTCAATCCTGTTACAACTCTTTACAGAGAAGGTGACACCTGCCGTTCAATTGAGTGGATTATACCAGAAATGACGGGTTTAACAGGAAGCAATTGGAAAATATCGCCACCTGCCACCATAACATCTGCCTAAACGAAAGCGTATCGTGTGTTACTGTATATAGAACGCATCTGCTCTGTAAGGACAATGATACTATATTAATCAACCACCCTTTTAAAATGATTTTTTACTCAATTAAAGACCAGATTCCTACTAGTAATGCACATCAAGCTAAACTTTATCCCATTCAAAATTGACCTTTCCATGTGGATAAAACAAATTTCTAGAATAATTTTACGCAACGTTATTCAGAAAAAGAAATTAAAATATACTTAAATTCTAGATAATTTTAATGGTTTACGGTAATAAAAGAAGAAATATATATATATATATNGGCGGACCTGCGCGTGGCAAAAATCATTAAAACCAACTCCAACCCTCAACAACAATGGCTAGAGGTCATGGAGATATTTAAGGCGGGAAGAAACGGCACGTGTATTAATTATAAAGAGGAAATGGCCCTATCGATAGCATGGAAGATTTTGCTGGATAACAGCATTTAAAGAGATGAGTATGGAGCATGCGCAATACAAAGATAGAATTCGGAAGAGATTTTGATAGATGACAGAGTTTAAAGGGATGAATATAGAGCATGTGCAACACAACTTCGGAACAATTTCAAATGATAGAATTCGGAAGAGATTCATATCGAATGCTTATTTGAATATTAAAGGCCCATTCGTTATAGCCTGAAGAAGAGCCCTGGAGGGGCAACGAAAACGTTCGCAATTCTAAAAATAGAAGCACTCCGGTTAAAGGTTTGAAGAGCTTTTTATTTTATTTTAATCAAATAAATTAACCTGTATTTCCCGTAGAACTGACAAATTATGTTCTTATTGCATGCTACAATATTATCATTTCGTAAGAAAAATAATTAGAAATTCCCTACTCTAGTATCAAAACATTCGTTGCTATGTTTATAATTATATCTTTCTAATGCAGTAGTTTAATTAATGTTAATGTTACGTATTTAATTTCAGGTAATTGCGTGATAAAATCGCATAATTCATTATCTTTGTAAAATTTTCTAGAAATTTTATGGAGAAATAAAACAGAATTACACCATCGAAATTAAAGAATTATATAAAAGATGTAATAATTTATATTTTAAGCATTTTAAATAAACAAGGAGATTAATTCAAGTTTCTCTTTTGCCATTACAAGTAAACTTTGTATCTATCTATTTAAAAAGTGTATATAAGATTCTTCTTCACTACTATACTTTATAGCCTACACACCTCTTTTAAAAGATGTATAGGCCTACAGTAAGATTCTGCTTCACTATAAGTATACTTTATAGACATTTCTTTTATAAAATACAGTATATACTTCATTACTGAATATGTATTTTGTATAGGCCTACATCTCTTTAAAAAATATATGTGAGATTGTTCACTACTGAAGTCTACTATGATTATCTTTCTTTAAAAAAAGTATGTACAAATGT